TTCTTGTTGATAAACTCGTTTATTATTAGGTATAACATTTTATTGAAATTTTTCAAAGACTGCACAAGAACACGGCGTTAGACCTTAGTTCAGTGGTGGGATAAGCCTTGCTCGATTCCGAGTAGATTGAACGTATCATTGATTTCATGATTAGTCATTGAGTGTGTGAGATGTGTTGAACAGCAGGCAGTCATGAACACGATTTACTAGCTCAGCAATGATTAATACCATCCTTATTATAAGAAAGATGGCTAATTTGGCCTGACTGTTGAACAAGTTAGCGATATGGTAACGTGATCGGGATCGGAGCGACGCGACAGGTTTCTCAGACAATCAACTATTTAAGGCGGACAACAGGCAGTAGCTGCTGGTGACAGCATCACGCTTACTTCTGTTCCTTATTTATGGTTTCTACACGGAATTTTTCTCCAGTAGTGCATTCTCATGTATTCAAACCTCAAAAAAGAGTATGGTGGGGCGCTTATAGCTCCCTACCATACTCTTTTTGTCCCTTGCAGTTCGCTTGCAATTTGTTCAGGATTACAGGAAGATTCCACGATAAAGGTCGATGGTCAAAGAAGGGGAAGTCACCTAGTGGGAAACCAGGCAGACCCCCCCTAACAGTGCGGCCGACATACAATTTGCAGCGAAGGTTATACCCTCAGCGATCTAGTAAGGCCCTCCCCCTCGTTCTCCTATTCTCAAGCCGTGTTCAGCAGAGAGAGAGAGCGTTAGCCTTGAAGAGGGCACCACTGATGAGAGTCGCATCAATGCGGAAATCAACGGGCAAGAAGGGTCCCATTTCTCGGGTTCGGGCCGTTTCTCATGGTTTTTTCTTCATCCCTGCACCACTGACCACCTCTACCCTTATTTCCAATGAGCTGCCTTTCATCGTAAATCTGCCTTTGCATACTTGTCAACCATGAACTTATCATACTTGTTTTCTCATTGCTCCTTGCTATTACTTCACTAATTCTCTTGGTTTCATATTTTATTGGCTATACATGAACGAGTTCCTTGGCCCCTCCGTAAAGCGTCCCTAACGCTGAGCACCCCACATCCTCTTTTCACTGCTTTTTTTGAATTTTTCTTTTTCAAACTCAGACTGTAGTTACATTTTTATAGTTTCTCAACTGGAAGCCTGTTGGAATGCTTTTGGCTCAGTGACTTTAGGCCCGCCTTATAGTCAGGTGTTTCTTCAGTTGTGGCTGATGTGTGCTGCATTCAACACCAGAAATAAAATCTATGAATCGAGGCCTACAGTATCCTTCTGATTGCCACTTTTCACATGCCAGATCTTTTCATCTTTTGAAAGTCATCTAGTCAATTCCATAACCATACTGCTAGTGAATTGAAGTCTACCTTTAAGTCTACCTGAGGCAGTACTGGAATCTGAAAAACCATGATTTCCTCTGTTGCGTATTCTGGATTCCTTGTGGGCATAGCTGCGTTCTATCAATGATCAGCAATATTTATCCATTCTAATTTATGAACTGACCAAATTTCATATGAATTTCAGGATGAGCTTACAACGCTCGGTGCTGGCGGCTACTTGCGGCGGCTCAGCGATAGCAATAGCAGCAGCTCTGTGCTTGACCGTCTCGTTGCTGACTGACATCAACTCATTCTACGATGATGTTATCACTGACATGACAGAGTTCAAAGGTAAGCCATGCAGGATTTTACACGGCATGGTCCTTTTTTATGCGCATTCTGCGATAGTGTTCACGAAAAATGCGAATATGGATTGGAAAGGACAAATTCAGGGCTATGCTGATGACGCCTGGAAGCACATGATTCGAACGACTGGTGGCGGTCGAAATCCGCTTGACGTCATTGTGGCCCGAACCCGCCGTGAAGGTTATCAGATCCCACCGGACGGTGTTGAAGCACAGCCTGAGGCTGGAGTTCAAGCAGCCAAGTCCGACTCCGACGGTGGTGGCGATGGAGGTGGAGGATATGTGTGCGGTGAGTTTACGAGACTCGAAGATGTCATTCACATTTGGAGGCCTAGTAACATATTTCCTGATCTTTAGAGTGTGCAACGAAATCCGTAGGGTGTCCACCTGGACCTCCTGGACCACCAGGAACACCGGGAGCACCTGGAGGTTAGTTGGAGGCTTAGCCCTAACCCTGTGGGCTAACCATATTACATGATTTGCTCCAGAGGATGGCGAGAATGGTGAAAATGGAGCACCAGGCAGAAGTGGTCTGGCTGTGATGGCCGAACACGCGATGGGCGGCTGTATCAAGTGCCCTCAGGGACCTCCAGGTCCTGCAGGACCCGATGGTCCGGCTGGGCAACCAGGATCACCAGGAAATCCTGGAGCAGTGAGTGTTCTTCAATAAGCCATTCAATGTCTGTCATTCGCAATACATTTCTAGGATGGATCGGGCGGTGGTAATGGTCCACCTGGTCCTGCTGGACCTCCTGGACCACCTGGTCCTAACGGAAACCCTGGTACTGATGGCGCTCCTGGAGTTGACGGTAATCTCCCATTTTTTATGGAACTATTACCTTTTGTCAACTTTGCACTTGTTCTAGGTGCTAATGGAATGAGATCTATAAGTGCACCGGGACCAGCTGGAGCTCCTGGACCTCAGGGAGCACCAGGACCCAATGGAGAGGTTCGTGCTTGTAAATTCCACGTATACTTGTTGTCTGATCATAATCTGGTTTCAGAACGGAAGCAGTTCTGTTGGAGCACCTGGTCCTGCTGGTCCCCCTGGTCCACCAGGAAATGACGGTGCACCGGGAGGCCCTGGCACTCCAGGTTCGAATGGAGCAAACGGCGCACCTGGAGCCGATGCCGCTTATTGCCCGTGTCCGCCAAGGTCCATGCTCACTGCTGGAGCCGCAGCTCAGACGCTCGCTGAATCGGCAGCGGCGGCCGCAGCCGTTGTAGGCAAACGAGAACTTGTTGAAGCAGAAGGCTCTGGAGAAGGTAAACCAGAGAAAAAGGCAGAAACAGAAGTTGCAGTTGGCAAAGGTGTGGTGACAGAAGAACACATTGACACTGTCCTCACTGGTAATGCTGCAGGATCTGATGCAGTTAGAACAGTTGTAGCTGGAGCTGATATCACCAAAGGACCAGTGACTGAAGGAGGTTCGGCGCCTAGTGCAGCCCCTATTGAGGTAACATCAACATCACCAATACCTGCTGCTGGTACTGAGTCCGCACCATTAGCCCCAACGTTGTTACATGATGGATCAGCTCCACCTGCCTTACCAATTGTGGCCTCTCCTGCTGCTCCTCTTCCTTCACAACTTTCAAGAGCTGATGTTCCAAACCCCGCAACCAGACTTCGACGATACTTCAATCGTTTCTATTGGCATGCGTGATTTATTGGTGCAATGAAGAACAGCATTTTTGAATAAATTAATTATTTGAAGTTATATTAGAAAAGTGAATGCATTGACTGGCTCTGAATGGAACTCTATCTTGAGATCGTAGAAGTGTTTAAAGCAACAATCCAGGAACGAATTTGCGGGCCAAAAGCACCTATATGAAGTTGTAGGTGAAAAGTGGGCGAATAGAAAAAGAAAAAGTGAGGAAAGCGCCTAACTGGGGCTTAGACAGGGGCACCCCCTCTGCCGTTCAGCGATGGGGGAAGACGTGTGTTGGACGAGTTGTCCAAATCTGCTCGCAGTAATGCGCTTCAATTGCGATTGCTTGCAAATACTTGGCTGATTGCTAGCAACTGTAATTGAAGCGCACGCTGAAATGAAACCTTGAATCGAAGGGGACACATTGAAAATCAAATACATTCGGCATCGAATTTTCAAAGGATAGACCTCAAATGGTCGCGGCGGTCCCGCAACGACCGCTAGTCAAGCATGGACTCTGTACAGCGTATGTTGAACGATCCGCCCTGGAATGAGCGAACCGCCCCCTTCGAGTGAATTTCGACCCCTTCCAGCGCATTTCAGAGGTAGGTTTTGAACTTAGTGACATTTCCTATAAACTTTAGTTGGGCTGGGGCATGTTTTGACCGCCTAATGACCAAGTAGTTGAAACCCTGCCTGGACTGTTGCTTTAAGAAGGAGTGGTGTCCATAACATTTTAAGAACATTGGAGGTGGATTTTACGATGAAAATGCAGTTGTCGCGTCCGTTCTCAGGGCTCTAACTGACTGGCCGCATCGGCGAGTCCGCGAAGGGCCGTATTGACCGGTCGCGACAAAAGACATTTGGAGAGCTTCCTACACGAGCTCATTAGCCAGCCAGCGGGCAAAGCTTACTAAGGCCCTAACGCCGTCAAAATCGAGGCCACCGTAAAACTTAAGATCATCGAGTTTACTATATTGACCTTGAGCACTAACGAGCCTACCATGATAGTCCATGTAAGGAATCAATGGTTAAAAATCATTGACAAGTTAATTGGGAATCCAACGACAATATGATCCCACTTGGAAGTGTTGCCCGTGGCATATATCAAAATGTTTCAGGTGCCAAGTATTGATTCCAAATGCTTTTCTGGGCCTTATATTGCAGATCTAAACGTAAGATATCTAAAATATGAATCAGGATAAAGGCACCAATTACGATAAGGAGGAAGCGCATCGGGGAAGCATGTGCACCACTCGAAGTATTTACTTGGCTGCCAAGGAAGCGAGATGTCCCATTTCACAGCGAAAGGTGCGCTGGTTGCTGAGCAGGACTTCGAAAGCTCCGCCCCCAAAAGCGATCCGCCCACTAGTTCAGTTCCAGGATTTGGAACAAGCTAATCGTTGTTTGCAGCGACACAAACTTAAATCAAAGTTCGGGCTCAGCCCACCGCAATAGGGGGGGGGCCCCTTAAAGTGGCAAGAAGCGCATGGGACGCAACTGCAGGCGACTCGCCAAGTTCCCGCATCGAAATGCGTCACTAAGGCGCTAGGGGCCAAGGACTTTGACACGCTCCACCTGTTGCGACACGCTCCGCCCACCGCTCGATATTTTGTCTGCGTCGCAATGCTGATCTGCTATGCTCTCTCTTCTCGGATTTCTCTACCGCTCTCCGCGCTCACATTATCTCTCATCTCCCTGCCGGCCTTTTGAACTTCTCCGCAACGTAGAGCAAAAGGCTCGTATTTCCTGTGTATTTCACGATTTTTTTCCTTTTTTCTCCACTGGCGGTCCACCTCCCGCCCCTACATCACATTTGAGTAGAATTACCTCATAGTTTAAGCTCGAATCTTGCCTTTAAGTAGTTCGACCGTGGTTTGGTATGCTGCCACCTAACGCATTGCCGTGAACTCGTTCATACGTCCGATTTCTGAGCTGTTACCTGTTCATGAGTGAAAAAGAACGGCCAAAAAGGGGTCCCGTTTTGCGTTTTCTTGACGGATTTCTCAGCTTTTTTCGCCACTGCGCGTTACTGAGCACCATCACGTCTCCTTTGAAACCTTCTCGAATCTATCGTAACCGCTACCTTTAGAGCCAGTGAAGCGTCTTTATTTCAGAGGAATGTCCCACAATCGATTTGATATTGTAATTCCGCTTCAATATGAAATTAGGATTGCACAAGGAAAGGAAGCTGTTGAAAACGTCGAAAATACAAGCCTCCTGTGCTACACGGTAGGCAAGAATAACATACGGACGATTGACACTGCAACGGTGGGAGGATCGAGGAACTTGAGATCTGAAAACATCATTTCTAGTGCATTATGTCATATGGAGGCCTAGTACCTCACCGTCTATGGACCATGTTCTCTTTTTCATTTTTTCGCATTGTTTCATTAACCCTATCGTGGTGTGCCCTTGATTAAGAAATCGGTACCTAGGAAAAACCGCTAGATCGCATTATGGAAGGCAGAGATAACGGTTCGTAGAGTTCGTTTCACAATCGCCATCTATGACATGACTAAAATTGAAGATCTCTGTTTTTGCAAGTATGTGACACTCCAAATAGAGGTCCTAGGACACTCAGACCGAAGAGCTAATGACGGTAGTAAAGTGCACTGGCAATCAAATGTGAGGATTTTCACCCATTGACGAGGACTAAGGAACGTGG